CAAAAAAGCAGCATGAAAATAAATACCAAAAAGCAGAACCTATGCATGGGCTGCATTCACCACCACTTGGAGTTCACTAAGCCACTATTCTCTAAGAACATAGAAAATATTTTTTCACAAGACTTGTATTTTATCTTTCCAGAACTTCATTTTAGTCTCCAAAAACAGAGATTGCTGAATCTTCTTAAGGAGAAACAAAACAAAACAAAAAAACGAGGGAAAGTTTATCTTTGATCATACATGAGTTGATTCTGAAAATGAAGAAAAAAGTAAAGAGAAGTGATTGTAATGTGCCACTGTTTGGAACAGTGAATGGTTTAGGAGACAAATGGGCTCTCTCATATAAAATAGTAATTTCTCCTCTACAGATTCCCCCTTTCATATAGAAATGGCTGTAGTTTCCAATCATGGCAAGGGCTGGGCTCTTTCTTCCACCAAAAGCTCTGCTAGCTGACAGAGACCACGGAGCTGTGAAAATAGAAATGGAGGGAAGGCTGGTAAAGGAGTTATAAGATTTTTTTATTACAATACAAGAATTAATAACTTGTACTGTCTCAGAAGGAAAAACTACTATCCAGAATAGGGCTAACAGGTCTTCATTCCTACTACTGCCAATTTTTGGAAGTCGAAGGTTTCCAGAAAGAAAATGTGAAAGACTTCAAAATGCCATTACTGGCTCCTTCTACCAGAACATCTCCAACAAATAACTATATCAGTAAAGGATACATAGCCAGGATGAACATAGGCTCCCTGTCATTTATAGAGGTTTGTGTTTCCCTGTACTATCTAGGCCACTCCCAACTCCACAAAAACCTCAAGAGTAAAAACCCCATAATGGGGTAGAGGATGTACCTTAGTGGTATAAAGCATGCCTAGTATGTGCAAGGCCCTGGATTTAATCCCAGTACTGCAAAAACAAAATAAATAGTATGCGAATGAACTGATTATGCTTGCTTAAAAGGATTTCCACACTGAAGTCCAAATGAAATGCCAGAGGCCCTGATAGTTAAGTGCTAAGCAAGATTTGCTTGAAACTGCTTAGGAATCCCTATGGGAAATAGCACCTCCATCAGGGTAAGGGATAAGGCAGCACAGGGAGTTGGGAAAGATATCTTAGTAACCCAAGAATATATACCTGCACCTTATACACTTCCCTTTTAGCAGCAGCTATGGAACACTTGCTGAGCAGCTGTAAAACATTAGCATTCTAAGAACGACACAGAGAGAGCACAGGCACAAATGAGGGACATTAGTGCATGACGTGGATGTGCATGCGTTGAGTTAAAAGCCAGCTTCTGCAGAGTCTGTGTGTGACAGGGTACCATGCTGCTCACTTGAGCTGGAACAACACAAAATTGGTGTGTGGTACAGGCTGAACGTAAGTACACCTGAGAAATTCTATCTTGGATGTTAATGCTGTTGATTAGGAACATATGTGAATTGTTTTCAGTGATCTTCCTTTTTTAAGATGTCTTCTATGGATATTTGTGGTGTTACATGACAGACACAGTAAATCACCCTAAAAACAAGGCATTAAATACTTCAGAACAAGGAAAATAATGAATAGGTCATTCCCTGCCACTGTTTGTGAAGTCTGTGTTATGTACTGCTCATCAATGTCCTGGAGTCGCCACACTGAGCTGCTGAACTGCCTGTGTGCTCTCTGTATCACCTAGATCCTAGGGCTTCAACTTTTCAGAAGAAAGATCTAACAGCTCCTTTTTCTTTTCTTCTTTCATTCATTTATTCATCCATTTTATCCCCCTAGCGCTGGGGACTGAAGCCCGGGCCTTGCAAATGCTAGGCAAGTGCTCTACTACTGAGCTACAATCCCAGTCCCAGAAATAATGTTTCAATTTCAATGAATGGTTTGCATTTCAACACTTTCCTCTTAATTATTCAAAATGGAGGAAAGCCAGGATTGAGAAAGTATTCATTATCCTTTCATTTATTAATTTATACATCTAGGCCCATTAAAAAACATACACACACCCATTAGTTGTTCAAACTTCTGGGAAAGATCAGGCCAGTATGCCACAGCTAAAATTCAGAGATGTTATTATGTTCATCCTTGAAGCTCAAAAGATTGCACCAAATAGAGGGCCGGGCTGGATATCTGACTCTCCCACTAGAGAGAATGGACAGGTTACCAACTAGTTTCAGAACAGTATGACTTTAAAGGACCTTGAAACACTACCTACTAATTAACAGAGGATGGAGCCAGGGACATTTCAGGATGGAAGCAAGAATGAGCCTACAGTTTTATTTCTCTACTTATATTAACATCAATTATTCTGAAACTAAAATAAAAATATCAGCCAAGCATGGTGGTGCATGCCTGCAGTCCCAGCTATTTGGGCTATTGAGGAAGGAGAATCAGCTGAGTTTATGACCAGTCTGGGCAACACAGTGAGACTTCCATCCCAAAGTAAAATTTGTAAATCCTTGAAAATATAACAGGGCTGGAGACCACTGTTCTAGTCATTAAGGTCTCATTAACAAATGTGAATGTATACTCCTACACAGGCTCTGCGTTTGCTCATCTGTCAACCTAACAATTCCTTCAAATGCTCTTCTATGCAAAATGAGAATACGAAACAGTTAACCCCATGGCAATGTCAAGGTGCTTTTCAGATGCTCTTACCTTCTCTCAGTTGTGCTTGGAAGACCTCATCAGAGAAGGTTCTGCAAGTTCTTTGGCTGTGGCTGAACCAAGAATGACTTTTGAGTTCTTGTGAGATGACCATCAAGGGTCAAATCAAGTGTCAGCCAAGAACTTGTTCAGCCAAGATGGAAACACTAGGTTGCTGCAGGAACTTTGAGGGTGGGAGTTGGTTTCCACTCTTGCTCATGTGGTAGGTTCAGGAGGCAGCTAGGCCATCGGTAATTTTCAAATAGTCAACTCTTTAGAGGGGGTAACTTGCCAGAGAAGTGCAAAATCACACAAGAAACCATCACCAGCAATTGTGTGATGTTCTGCCATATTCGACAAAAGACATTTTGATATCTAATGGTTTTCAGAAATATGCCATGTTCTGATTTGTGTCAATTCTAAAATTTTGAAAGATTTTGTGACAAAGAAACTGCTAGATTTGGGAGGTAGGTTTAAAAAATCCCTAGAAAAATCAAAAGAGAAACATTCTGTATTGTTGTTGCTTTTTAATAAAATTTTTCCTGAAGTTGAAGGTGTAGGATGTAGTATATAGAGCACTAAACTATCAGGACCCATGTTGAGATTTCCTATTCTATTAGAGCTCAAATCTGCATTTTAGAACTATGTAAGTTATGCAACATCTCATACAATAATCTATGTAGGGTCACCACAAAAACCTGTCCTTACTACTTGTCTTCAAAATAACTATACAGGATATATAGTACAAGTTACAATTTGTTCCTTTTCCAAAGACACATCATGTGGACGCAAGACAAGTGGACAAAAGCAGACAAAAGCAAACTTGAATGGCCCCAAAATCATCTCAATAGTAAGTACTATGATACCCTGTTTTCCAGTTCTCTTGCCTTTATTTAAAATTTACATCCTTTGGTGGCTAGAAGTGTGACTGTAAATGAATGATTTTGATTTTTAAAGAATGACTTGTGAAACTGGCTACATTAATCCTTCTCTAGTGTCCATTTTATTTTTTTTATTATTTTTGATACCAGGGATCAAACTCAGGACCTTACCCTTACGAAGCAGGTGGCGGAACCACTGAGCTAAATCCCCGGCCCCTCTAGTGTCCATTTTATATAAAAGTCATAAACAAAGGAACATGGAATTAATTGGCTTAGGTTTGATGGCAAAATCAAAACAGAATTTTGAGAAGATATCTAATCTCCTCAATATCATGACATCATGATCATAGAACATCAGATCCTAAGGCTCAGCACCAAGCCAATGAATAACCCTTCTGATCCTGGAAAACACATAAAGATTAGGGTGAATAGTATAGACTAACATGCAAGACTTGCTAAATCTGATTTTAAAGGACTGTATTTCGTATTTGAAAGTCATCTAAGAATTCAAAAAGTTTTCTAACATCTAAAAATTTCAAAGTTAAAGATACCAATTCCTGCCAGGCTTGGTGGTGCACACCTGTAATCCCAGCACTCGGGAGGCTGAGGCAGGAGGATCGCTGTGAGTTCAAAACCAGCCTGGGCTACACTGTGAGTTCCAGGTCAGTCTCAACTACATAGTGAGACCCTGTCTCAACTCCCTCCAAAGATACCAATTCCTGTCTAAAGAAAGATAATATTGCACCAGTGAATGCTTAAAATACTGCTTATAGTCTTCTCTGTAAACTCTACTTAAATTTTAAATAATAATTCACTTTGAGCTTGCCTTAGCAATACCTTTCTCTTAAATGTGGCTGATTAGTAGAGCTTTTGGTCTCATGTACTGTGTGATCCCCACTCTAACAACAGAAGGGAAAGGCAGGCATCAGTTAGATGTCTGTTTTCTACACTCATCCTTTTTCATAAAGTAGGTTATGTCAAGATCTTTTTGAAATAGCCCATGGGAATTGTCAGTAAAGAAGCATGTCCTTAGGCCAGCAGGAATGATCCTTTTATCTGGTGGCAATTCCCCTTGAGTCTAGCTCTTCCCACTGCATGAGAACTAAGCAAATTAGTTTTTCCTTTCAGCTTGTATTTCTCTACGCTAGTAAGTACTATAATTTAATGGGTATTGTAGACATTACTTATATTCTTTAAAGCTAAAAGGATATTTAGCTAGAATTTTTTCTATACATACAAGCAAAGAGTTTTTTTTCAACATCTTATGCTATAGAATAGCAGTGACTGAGCCCTGAACAGAATATTCTGAGTTGTGTAGTAGTGGTCGTGATATTAGATTAATGCTATACAAGAAATAATAGAACCTGACACAGAGAGACACAAAAGTGACCCAACCCTCCATGACACAGCCTCATGCATAGCGATTAAGTGAGAAGCCAAGCACTGTCCAGGTGCCTGTTAGACTCTCAGCTCCACTCATGACCCACCTGCTGTGGCCCTGTATGTCCCCCAGCTCCTTCTGTAGCCTGGCATTCTTCTCCTCCTCTTCCAACAGCCTCCTCTTCACAGTGCGTAGCTCCTGCTGAGCCTCACATTTGATGTCATTGGCCACCACCACTGCAGTCTGCAGGTCTGCCTGGAACCGCCTCCATTCCTCAGTTTCCTCCTGAAAACACCAGAGTCCATACCTGCGTCAGTTGCCTGCTGGGACCTCATCTATATAGAGGCTGTGGAATTCCTTTATCAATTCCTGAGAAAGAATGGCCAGCAGTAGTGAGGCCCTACTTTAAATAGTGTCTTGCTACTAGGAAGAGGCACAAGTGGAAATTTCACTATCATGTGAAAGTTTTCCATCCTAAAACTGAACAACTGCTTCACTTTTACTTCCTGACAAGAACATATAATTGGGGTCACACCATGGAAATACTCCATGAAAAAGCAGGCTGCAGAGAGCGATTGGTGTTATTCCTATTTTTCCAGAGCTAAGATGGGAATATGTATGGTGAGACAATAGCAGAGACCTGCGCATAGCTGTACCCCACACACCTTTATCTGTTTTGTCAGGGTCTTTAGCTGCCGTTCCAGGTCTGACTTCTGCTCTTCCAGCTTGATCACACTACCTAGAAGTAAACAATTCAGACAGGAGTTGGAAAAGTGGGAGAAGGTAAGCTGAGTAGCAAAGGGGCAGTGCCAGGGCACGCAGAAGGCTTGCAAATCCATCCTTCTACTATAAATTCGGTTTTTAGTCCCCTGCAAGCAGGAAGTTAGAAGCAAGTGGTTCTTCTAAGACAGGGAATGGGACAACATGGGAAATAAGTGTGCTTATTTAGGATATATCCTTAGAAGTCAAGGTGTACAATCATATAGCACTATGGGAGGAGACCTCAGCAGCTACTCATACATTTGAGCTGGGCTTCCCTGCTGCTCTTCACACACTGTCATCCTGAATGGCTTTCACTGAGGAAGGCAGAGGGCTTTTGTATAATAGAGAATATGATTGGTCATTATTCCTGTGAGTTTTTGAAACCCATGTCTAGGGGCATGATACTTAACCACAGTTAAACCTCAGAATTATGTGTGGTGTTTTTCAAAAGCACAGAAGTCAAGTTGTAGCTCTGGACCTACAGGTTCATAGGCTCCACAGGTGGCTTAACCATATCTCCCTAACGAAAAACAAGTCCTGTTCCTAGTTCACCCCGCTTCTAATTCTCTCCACATCACTAATAGAGACTTTTAAATTTAAATCTCATCATGTCAGTCACCTATTAAAATTCCTGAATGATTCCCCTAACCCAGAGAAGTAGTGTCTTTTCAGGATGTGAGTCAGAATCACCAGAGGTTTTTAAAAATTCACAAGCCATGCCTTACCCCAACAGTTCTATATCAGGATGTGAGCCCTAAGAATTTGTGTTTGGAGTCAAATGCCACAGAAAACCTTCCTTCACTTCTTTGTATTGTTCTGCTTCTCCTGAGGATATTCTGGGAAGGAGTGATTAGTCTAGAGCTGGATTTGAGTGTCTTCTGATTCTCCTAACACATATATCTTAATAATACCTTAATATCCCTAGCAGAAGTTTAAAAGCTTCTCAAAAAATGGTCTGTGTTATTTTCAGTCTCTGATATATTATGATATAACCACTGGAGTGGGCCTGAAATTTGCTCTGAACATTAATTATACACTGGTTTGCTTGGTGTGTCTGGGCTGACTTTTAAGGATTTAAGGATAATACAATCATATTCTCAATAGCAATATCTCACAAAAACAAAAACAAAACAAGACTTTATTATTTTCAAAGCTGGTGTTGGGTTTGGGATTATACACGTTGACAAAGGTGTCTAGCTTTTAATTATATCAACAAACGTGACTTAAGCCTGGCGACAGTGAATAGTGATGCACTACAGTTGTACAGATTGCATTTAATGATGAATGGAAGAGGCACCAGCCCTGACCTGACCAAGTAACCCAAATACAGAACACACAGACCATTCTCATTATTCATGGTAGCTTTATAATTTCTTAAAACTATTGCTCCTAGAGGAAATATGATGTTAGGTTCCTTTGAACTTCTGAGGGTCAGAATATTTTTCATTAACTGAAATGCCATTTGCGTTATGCAAATTCATTTGCCAATGTGTTTATAAAACAAGCCAGTGTTATCAATATGAGAAACCTCCTCTTTTGTTTTCTTTGTAATTTCTTTCTTTGGGTAGTTTATGGGAGTAGTGGCACACTGATGTAATCCCAGAACTCAGGAGGCTGAGGAAGTAGGATCACCACATGTTCAAGGCCAGCCTGGACTACCTTGTGAGTTCAAGGCCAGCCTGAACTGCCTAGTGAGACCCCCATCTCAAAGCACACACACAAAAACAAAATAAAACTACATCCTCCTGATCATCAGAATCTTTTTTGCCCACATTTTAAATGTTTCTCATGCCTCATAGGCATATAATAAGGTTTAACATTTTCCTGACCCCGGGCAAAGTGAAATTTCTTTGGTTTTGGCATTGTCATAGTGCTGTCTACCATAGCTTATTGGCCTTCATCTCATGAATTCACAAATTTACTCCCTTTCTCATCTTTTCTATAACTATCATTTATTGTAGATATTACTTTAGCAGCCTTATGCTCAGGTTAGAAAATTTCCTCTTCCTCTCTCTGAATGTACTATGCTGTTGACTTATTAACACTGAGCTAATGCCCAACAGCACAGGCCTAAACTAACCGTATCTAACATATTTATAATATACCATGCCAAAGTATATTAATGCTTTCTTATACTTGGGGACAGAAGACAGTACTTTAGTATTGCACTCAGGGGCCATTTCAAGCAGCACAATCACCAAAAGCTAGCAGAAAAGCCCTGAAAACATGACAGTAAGTGGACTGTGAAAAGGACACTTGTACACAGTATCACAACTGACACAAGAAGGCAGAGGTCTCTCAGTTTGATCCCAGTTAAGAATATAAATGCTGGATGACTCAAACTTTTTACCTTTCTGCATGTTCAGAAATAACCATGAAAACTTCTATAGTACTGGTTGGGTGATATAAATAAATTTTAGTAAGCGAATATATGAATACAGATCTGTGAATAATGAGTATTGACTGTATATGTTAGGAAACTTCTCAGGTAACTAAACTATTTTTAGTAATGGCTAGTATTAAAAGCTATATGTATGAGTTCTTTTGTTACAGAAGCAAAATATATTAGATGTGATCATTTGATAAGACATTTGAACAAAGGAGGCAATGTTTAATGTCTTTTAAAAATGTCTTTCTCTTTTCAAAGTAAGCTAAGTTCATAAATAAGTTCTAATAATATTTTTTCAGTAACAAAGTGGCCAACATCTGTAAGTTACCTGATTACCCCACCATCGATGGGATGTTTGCTAAAAATGTTTTTCTCCTTTTAGATCAAGGGGGCACATTGTTCATTCTATCCACCATCAGACCCAAAAGACTACATTGTCCAAACTTGACGACTACATTGTCCAAACTTGACGACCACAGTAAACAACTGTTCTGAATAACCTGCTCATACCCTATGACTATTCTTAGGGAAAGTCCTATGAACTCTCATACAGTCACACTTGAGCTTCAAGTAGATCTGGTTGTTTAGAGACAGGGGCAGCAGTGTAGCTGTCACATGAGACATACCTAATACATCTGGAATATATCTGTTTTTTTCACAGTGGCCCCATGGTGCTGACTCATGGTCATTAATTTTCTTTTCTATCATCCAGTTTTCCAGAGTAATTTAAGAGAGTAACAATTGTTTCATAACAGCCACTCTTCCTGGTAGATTACAGCACACTCAAAAGAAAAGCTCCTCCTAAACCCCAACCGACACACATCCTTGGAACAACCATTTGGCAGTTGCTCACTTCCATTGGTTCCTTTAGCTTCTACTCACACCTGTCACATGTTTCATGCAGGTATGCCTTCACTTACTCTCTAGCTCACTAATGAGCTGATTGTTGTGTAACTTGACAGCTCGGTGTTGTTCCACCTGATCTTCCAATTCAAATATGGTTTCTTTCATGTCTTTAATCTCTGCATCACTCTCTGATGCTTTCTCTTGCAGTTTTAGGCTGGTTTTGCTCAGCTGTTCTGCTTGATGATCACAGATTTCCTTCAGGTAAGAATAATCTTTTTCCATCTGGAAGAAAAGGAATATTTCACAGTTAGTTTAACAATGAAAAAGTTCCCCACAAATCAGCAGCCAGGCTCCTTGATGCAAAGGCAAAGGATGCTCCAGGCATATGCTATTCCACACATTCTCGAGAAGTCCTGTGGCTTGAGAAACAGCCAAACCTAAAGGTGTTCAAAGAATCACAACATCTGAGTCTAAACAGCTGCCTTCTGTGCCCCTTACATAAGTAGAAAGAAAGCTGCAAGTAATTAAATGCCCTTCTTTCCCACCCTGGATAGAAAAGTGCTTTCACAGGAGGCATTGGGGCTGCACTGGCAGGAGTGCTGCTTGCCAGCACCTCTCATCCCCTGTGGAGTAGTGCCCTCTGCTTGTGAGACACGAACAACACTCCTAAAAACTGACATCGGTAAACTGCCGAATCTCAGTCCCAGGACACTCCAGGTTGCCGTGTTTCTTTGGATGAATGAAACACAAGTGTAATGGAGATCACAGAACACAGAAATGTGCATGCACCAGAAACACAGAAGTAGCACAGAATAGTTGTTTCCCCTGTTCAATTTTCAGTTTTACATATTTTAATAATTAACACAGAAAAACACTCAAAATGAGATAACTTTGCACCCAGACTTAAAAATAATTAAATCTTCCATATGTGCTAAATATTTCTACTTTAATAAGATTTGTTAATGAGCTGGGAGTGGTGGCGCACACCTGTAATCCTAGCACTTGGGAAGCTGAGGCAGGAGGATCACTGTGAGTTCAAAACCAGCCTGGGCTACAAAGTGAGTTCCAGGTCAGCTTCAACTACACAGTGAGACCCTGTCTCAACAAAACAAAACAAAAAAGATTTGTTAATGCCTCAACTTTTCCTATCTCAGAGTAATAAGTAGCATCCTAAAATTGGTGTGTAGTCATTCGCTGAAGGGTTTTCATTTTTACTATACATGTATATGCCTATGATAATACATAGTACTGTCCTGGATATTTTAGAACTTTTGCACAAATGATACATTATGGTTTGCAGAATACTATACTATACTGCAATATAAGATTAATATGTTTTTGCCCTGTACTATGCAACGCTTACTGTGCTCTTATAACTTTTAAGTGTTTTTGAGATTTATCCATACCTCACACTAGGTCACTGCTTTCACTGTTGCCTATTAGTATCTCTCTGTCTGAATATATTAATTATTTCATTAGTGTCAATGATGCAATCAGCATCACTGCTGCTTTTCTATAGCCTTTTAATTAAGGTTACTAAATAGCTGTATATTTATCAAATAATATAATCTTGTTAGCGAAAAGATTTTCTGAACTTTTTATCTCTTTTACTTCATATGCAATTGAAAAATTTTTTCCAATTGCATCTCATATACAAAGCTTTCTGGTTGTGAACTCTATGGGAACATGGACCTTGTCTGCTTTATTCACCACTGGATCCCCTGAGCCTGCACAATGTGACACAAAGGAGGTTCTTAACGAGTTTTGATGAGTGAATGAACAAACAATTTCACTTGGGAAGCTAGGATGGAGGGAAGGAGTTAGTAAGAATAGAAAAACCCAAAGGGAATCAACATGAGAACTAACATAGGGTATATGGTCTGCATTAAGGGTGAGGACTGCTTGTGAAACTTGCACTGTAATTATAGAAATGTGTGGTTCAGGATTGTAAGAAAACATATCACTGCAGGTTGTGGTCAAAAAATGTTGAAAGCTGCTGAAGTATATTAAAATGGCTAGGGGTGCAGACCTGTGTCAAACTGTCAGGGTATAATTCCAGGTCTATTCTTAATAATCTGAGGCTGCCTTTTTGTGTCACTGGACTTTTTGCTGACCAGTAATGCAAACTTATGATTACAAATTATACTATTAAACACCCAGCAATGTGACTTTGATTTTTTTTTGTACAGAAAAATCATTTTCATGTATTCTAAGCATTTTTCATCTTTGAAAATCAACTTCTTCCAAAAGGGGCTGGTGGGACTGTATTACAAATAGACTCAAAGGAATTTCCCAGGAACATCAGGATTTCCTGCAGGGAAGAGAGAAAGACATTTCTGATTCATTAACAATCGTCAAAGGCAGATGGCAGCAGAGGCAGCTCCAAGCCCTCAGGGCAGGAATCCTGGGAGCACACTCGGATCAGATGGGGCTAGAATTTTAGCTACTGTCACTACCTCCACCTCAGCATGTCAGATCCTGAATCTGTGGAATAGATACGATGATGGAGATAGAGATGTGGATGCAGGAAGTTGATTGAGAAGTGCTTTCAGGCAAAAGAAAAAAATTGTGCTCTCAGGAGATGCCATGTGGGACAGCCAACTAAGCAGGATCCTGCAGGAGAAGCTGTAAGATACAATGTCACACAAAGACCTGAGCTAACCCAGCTCAACACCTAGGATGCCCTTTAGTTCTGCCCTAGATGGAAGCAAGGCCTGGCCTTTATTTGCCCAATGAGCCATGAGATGTGGCCACCCTGGGGAAGGCAGCTCTCCTCAGTAAAGTCCTGGAGGGGGACCCCAACTGGGTAGAGTCACTGACTACTACTCCCCATCAGCACAGGGAAAGAGGGTATGCTTCAATCCTGGGGAGTCTCTGCATGTACTCCACCACTGCTGGTATTAGAGAACACTTGTGCCACACACATCTAGATTCTCTTCTCAAGTGTAAATACTGGAGACAGTGGTTTTCTTAGGAGATAATTTGACTACGGTGAATAAAGACCTTTATATGGTGTACCTACATAGCTTTCTCAGTTGGGTATAATAAGCAAGGGTACAAAAGAAATCAAGTAAGAGGTCAGCTAAGAGCAAGGCCTCGTCCTACACAAACTAGCTTCAAGTCAGGCGTGGTGGCACATGTCTGGGATCCCTGGACTCTAGAAGGCTGAGGTAGAAGGATCACAAGTTTGAGCCCACCCTGGGCAACTTAGCAATTTAGTGAGAACCTATCAAAATACAAAATAAAAGAAAGGTGTGGTGGTGCACATCTGTAATTCTAGCACTCAGAAGGCAGAGGCAGGAGGATCACTATGAGCTCTAGGCCATCCTGGGCTACATAATGAGTTCAGGCCAGCCTATACTACAAAGCAAGACCCTGCCTCAAAAAACAAAAAAATAAAATGGTAGGGATGTAGCTCAGTGCAAATGTCCTGGGTTCAATCCTCAGTACTGGGGAAAAAAAAATAACCGAGATTTTGGCAGACATAGCGAGGTCATTATAATAAATTCTGAGTAAATTCCAAAAGCATTACAGTCATATAGATACTTGGGCTAGAAACCAGCAGAAGCAGGGAAGTGATACTGCCAACAGGAAGATAGCTGACTTGTGAAGTAAACTCTCCATCATTGCCTCTTGTGTAACAATGCTTTCATTTGTTTTTATTTTACTTTATTTTTGCAGTGCTCAGAATTGAACCCAGGATCTTGCACATGCTAGGCAGGCACTCTATAACTCAGCTGCATTCTTAGCCCATGTATATCATTTTACTTGGCTTCTGTCTGAGTTTGTTGATTATATTTTCCATCTAATAAAATTATCTTCAGTATTAAAGTAATTAATAAATCATCTTCCAGGACAGAGAATGGTGAAAGACATCAAGGATCCCCCCACACAGAGACACACACATTCCAATAGTGCTTCCTCCTCCAAACAGTTGAGATTCTTTACAAACCTCAGAAAAGTTCATTGAATTACTGGGAATATCTCCTGGTTAGACATATTTACTGATCCTAAAAGGAATGGAAAAGCAAAGAGAAGCTGTACACACAACTAAAGTTCTTCCTGGCCTGAGAAGCCAAGGGGCCTCAAGGATCTCTCCAGGCAGGGTGCTGAAAGCAGCTTTGATGAGAAGGTCTCTACATTCTTCCTAGCTCCAATAGCCAACACTTCTCAAACTGTTCCAGGTCCTACATTCCCTCTGAGGGAACAGCACAACCACATATGTAGCAACAAAAACTGAGGATCTGTGGACTAAATAAAATGTCTCTTTCCCACAAATCCCAACATCACATCAGCAACCAAAACAATGGAGCCTAACTCGTAACTGCTTAATATCTAAATGTCTTTCTAACCCTTGTCCTCCTTCCTATTCAGTCCTTCATTCTTTTTTACCTAACTCTGGCCAAAGTAATCTTTTTTCAATCATAAATGTGATTTTGCAACTCCCTCGTTTGAAATTACTCAGACCAGAAGCACAAACAATAACAATGAACTGAACTTCATAAAATTACAATTGAAAAAAAATGTCCCACAAAGGCACTATAGGACAGTGAAAAGATAAGTCAGAATGCGAGAAAGAAGCTGGTGTGGTGGCATGTGCCTGTAATCCCAGCACTCAGTAGGTTAAGGCAGGACTGCTGAGAGTTCAAGGTCAGCCTGAACTACATAGTGAGACCTTGTCTCAAAAAAAAAAAATCTACAAATCATATCTCTGGTAAGGAATTTGTATCCAAAATATATAAATAATTCTTACAACTCAATAAAAAGGTAACTGACAATTTTTAAAATGGGCAAAAGATTTAAAAGATATTTCTCTGAAGATATACAAATGGCAAGTAAGCGTAAGAAAAATGCTCAATACCATTGGTTTTTTAAAAAATTTAATTTATTGGTACATTCTAGGTAGACAGTACAGTTACATTCATTACTGGGATCTTGTACCTTTACATGCCAGATCTTGGTTCTCATTTATTCCCCTTGTCCCCACCCTTTCAGCCCCTCCTTCCCTCCTCCATTATTAATGGAAGATGCCACTGACATCACTTGGAAGTGCCAGTCAAGCCACAAGGAGATGCCACTTCATATCCACTGGGATGGCTGTATCAAAAAGGCAGTAACTGTGATGAGTATGTGGAGAAACTGGAACTCTCACACACTGCTGATGAGAATGTAAAAGAGTATGGCCACTTTGAAAAACAGTTTGGCTGTTTCTCCACAAGTTAAATATAGAACTACCACATCACCAGAAATTCCACTCTTGCCATATACCCAAGAGAAATAAA